CCTGACTCTACTGGCCAATCAGTGTTTTATTCATCAACCAATAAGAGAAACATATATAAAGAAAACCATCCCCTATCAGTTCACAGCAATAGAAATCGTAACTAAGACAGAGACTTTTTCTTTTTGCTTACTTGCCTCTCACTAAGTTTATCCTACTCCTGAGGAAGGACCTACTTCTTCAGGATTCCAAGGCATTGTGAGACACTCAGACTTGTAGACTGAACAACTATTAGATTCTACTAGTCTACTGGTGGACTAGTAGGACTACAGCTTATAAGCCACTCTAATAAATCTTTTTATATGTATATAGATTAATTTTATTAGTTCTGTTCCTCAAGAGAACCCTGAGTTAGTGGTCAGAGTGCTTGCCACCAAGCCTAACAACCTGAGTTTGATCCCTAAGACCCACATGGTCGAGAGAGAGCTAACTCTCAAAAGTTGTCCTCTAACCTCTACACATGTAGCATGGCACATGAGCAACACCCCCCCTGCCCTATCCCAATGAATAAATATGATAAAAACCACAAAAAATAGGAGGGAAAAATAAGAAAACAATTGGAAGCAGCAGCATAGCAAAAATGATGAAGAACCTCTTAAAAAAAATCTATGGAAGTAATAAAATTGTCAGGATCAGCTTTTAGATTAAAAAATAAAAGTATTATTTTGGGCAGGGGGAATATATACCATGGTGCACAGGTGGTGGTCATGCATTCTGGGGAATCTATCTCAGATCATCAGGCTTGTGTGGAGTGCCTTTACCTGCTAAGCAATCTTGCTGGCCCTGTAAGGATCAACTTTTTTAGAATTTTGGAAATTAAGCTGGGTGTGGTGGCTCATACCTGTAATTCTAGCACTCAGGAGGCCTGGGCAGGAAAACTGTTAAACATTCAGGGCAGCCTGGCTACATAGTAAATTCTAAGCCAGTCTGGACTAGAGAGTAAGACCCTGTCTCAAAAGTGAAAACAAAATAATAAAAGCAGAAAGTTTGGAAAATATCCAAAGGTTTTACATCCATGAGTGTTTATTTAAAAAAAAGGTAGATATTAATAAGAATAGTGAGTTTGCTGGTCGATGGTGGCACATGCCTTTTATCTCAGCACTCAAGAGGCAGAGGCAGGTGGATCTCTGAATCTGAGGCCAGCCTGGTCTAAAAGCAAGTTCCAGGAAAGGCTCCAAAGCCACAGAGAAATCCTGTTTTGGGAGGTGGGGGGGGGGGAAACCAGTGAGTTTTGAGGCATTTTAATATTCCTTCCATCTCCCTTCTCCCAAGTTCTGTAGGAGCTTTGAAAACTAACATCCTGAAGCAGATGCAATGAAAGCCAGAAGCTTGGCAGTCCTGAGAGGGATAGAGTGGGCTCAAAGTTCCTTCAAAGCCACGTTCACAGAAAGCTCATTTTTTGATCCATTTAGTGGTTTATTGAAAGATTTACCTTAAGGGTTTCAGTGTTCATTGCAAGGAGCCCTGAAACAGTTTTTAACCAAACCAACAGCTTCAACTGCCACATTTCTATCTTCAGATCTATGCTGTTTCTCTTGGCTAAAAGTGCACTTAAGTTGCTTACCTCCAGCTTTGAAGCATTTGGTAAATGGTGGCAATGCCGACTCACCAGAAACACACCTAGTTTCCAATAACAACTACAGCAAACCTGTATTACAGTGAAACCACCTTCTCCTCTTCCTCCTCCTCCTTCTCCTTCTTCCTCTTCTTCTTGCCATATGGATAGCAACAGTAATACAAACTGGAATGGAGCAGAACCCAGCCCTGCTGGCAGAGTTGCTTGAAAAGAATGCAGAGATCAGTAACCATGCCAGCTGCTGAAGTAACACTTTCAAAACCAACTCAGGATCATGCCAATTCATGCCAACAGCCCTTCGTACCCACCCTTCCAAATACAACATGCCAAAGAAATAGAGTACACGTGAAATCTGAAAAAGAGGTTATCTTTATTTGATCTGACTTTAGGCCTGCAGAGAGCAGATGTTGTTTATGGACTGTGGGGAGTGGAGGAAGTCCTGAGTGAATATGAGTTGCTGACATGGAACACAGCTATGGCAAGAACCCCATAGCCTCAGACCTGTGGTAAAGTGGTAAAACCTTCCCATCCCAGCTCAGAAGAATGAAAAGACTTCCTCTGGTCCATGTGTAGATGTTGACAGCATGTGCAGAAAAGGTCCACCATAGATTCCTCCTCCTCCAGAGACTTACTGCCCTTAGATTGTGCCCCTATAGAAATTGCTATGGAGATTAGTTAAACCTGCCTCCTAGATCCAGCTGTATACCATAAACCCTGACTCTTTGTTTATCTGCATGTTTATCTGACTCCTCGTTCAGTTTATTACATACAGTTGTCTATGTTACATACAGTTTGACAACTGTATGTAATAAACACGCTGAGCTTCTTTTTTTCATCAGAGAACCCAACCCACCAGAGTACAGATTTTCCAAGTGTGTGTTTGTCTTTTCTTTATTCCCTCACTGACCTGGAACCATGCTGAAAATGGCAGGGACATTTGTCTAAACTATGAGAGGCAACTGCTTAACATGTTGGCATTCTGTGATGGTAGATAACAATGGGGGCAAAGGATAAGCTAATTAAAATGCTTACAAGGAAATGTTAGGGATTGTGGTATTTGTATGGGGCTTTGGAGAGTTTTGAGATGTTCCTGGGAATCTAGAACATATACCTGCATTAGCTATGTGCATACTCAGGGCTGTGTGTGGGGGCAGGAAAAACTGGAGGAATTCTTACTTCTTTGTTTACCATCGATTAAACTTGAGGCTCTATCCAAGCAGGAAGTGAAGTAGTATAAACTACCTGGCTGGAAGTTGAAAGCATGCCTCAGCAAGTACTGAGTCCCTTGGCAAAGACCGAGTGACTTTTTGGTTCTAGGTATTTAAGGAAGTCTCTGTGAAATAAGTCGTTGACCACCAAGCTCACTGAGCAGAAACTTCATTCAGTAGGCATAAACATGAAATAATGCAAAGAAAATATGGATCCCACATAATTAAAAAAAATTAAAACATTAGCCAGACATGGTGGCACATGACTTTAATTCTAGTCTTGAAAGAAGAATTTTTGTTTGTTTTTTGAGACAGGGTTTCTTTGTGTAGCATTGGCTACCCTGGAACTAGCTCTGTAGACTAGGCTGATCAAGAACTCACAGATATCCATCTGCCTCTTCCTCCTGAGTTCTGGGACTAAAGGTATGTGCCTGTTATTCCTCGGGAACCTTCCACCTTGTTTTTTGAAACATGACCTCTTATTGGTTGAAGCTCACCTAGTAGACAACACTGGTTAGTCACAAAGCCCTGGGACTCCTGTCTGTCATTCTCTGGCACTGAGATTGTAAGTGGGACACATACCTGACTGTTTTACATGGGTCCTAGGTACCTTCGGTTTCTGTGCTTGTAGGGAAACACTTGACCCAATTGAGTCCAAAGACATTTTTATTTTTATTTATTTTAAATGTTTTAAAATTTTTATTTGTATTGGTGTTTTGTCTGTGTAAGGGTGTCAGATCTTGGAGTTGTGAGATGCCATGTGGGTACTGGGTCCTCTGGAAGAACAGTCAGTGCTCTTAACCACTGAGCATCTCTCTAGCCATCATTTTTAAATAAATTAAAAATAAAAGAACTTTAGCAGATTGTTAAAGGGCTCTTTCTCTGCCTTCTATGTGAACTGCATAACGTGAACTGTTCTGCTCTATTGTGCCCATCCAACTAAGATGGGGGGACATTTCTGAGATCATGAACTAGAATGACCCTTCCTGCTTTAAGTTGTTTAAGACACAAATCTTGTCATGATGCTAAGAAAAATAAGTAACACACTGAAGCAGTGAAGGTCTTTGCAGAAGCTATGCAAAGCAGAGCTGCTGGGGTGCAAGTACAGGCAACTTCATGAGAACAGACCTCAAGGGAGATGTGTAGAAATGCACTTGAAATTGAAAACAGCTCATCCTAAGCTGACGGTTCCTCACTGACTGTGTAAAACAAGATCTGTAGAATCAAAGTAATAAAGGGGGACAGAAGTACTGTGCATATGCAAACAGGAATGTCCTGAGGAATGCCTCCTCTCAACACCATTCCTTCCCAGACATAAATGTAGACATGATGCACACTGGGGACCTGAAGTGTGAAAGTGGCACAGCTTCTAATGGTACTCGTTGCTAGACCCAAGTCTACATGGCTTACTAGTCAAACTCTGGTACTTAGAGGGAAGTGGGTCAATAGAAAGAAAATCAAATTTATTCAAGAGCTGACCTTGAGAAGATGGGGAGGGTAAGCTGCTTCATTCCTGGGCATTGAAGTACTACTTACTTATTTATTATTTACTTTTGTTTTATTTTATGTGAATGGGTGTTTTGCCTGCATGTATGTCTGTGGACCACTTGAGTGCCTGGTGTTTGCAGAAGAGGACATCAGATCTTCTGGAACTGGAGTTTCAGGTGATTGTAAGCTACCATGGGTGGGCTGGAAATCAAGTCCAGGTCCTCTAGAAGAACACACAGTGCTCTTATATTGCTGAGCCATTTCTCTAGACCTGGGGCAACTATTTATAATAGCCTGAAATATTAAATTAATTGAGATGCACATAAGAAATGAATGGATAAAGAAAATGTTCTATACATACACAATGGAGTTTTCTTTTTTCTTTATCAAAAGCCTTTATTGATTGATCCTGTTAAATAACAATGCATTTTACTCTTTTTAAGACAGAGTTCTGAGTAGGCTTTGCTGTCTTTCCTAAAATTAGCTCTGTAGACTGGACTAGACAACTAGGTGTGTACCGCCAAAAGGTACAAAGTATTTAGCAAAAGCTTCTGCTTGCTTCCAGGTTGGTTCTGTTGTTTTTTTCCAACCAACCGTAGACCAAATCAGAAGTAAAGGGCCCTTCACTGGAGACAAGGATCTAAAAATAATAAATAATTTCAGAAATCCAGGTGCTTTGTCAACAATACAGACATCTTTACTTCTTTGTACCATTTTACCAAGAACCCAGGCATGTATAATTTGAACCCATGCTCTATACCTGACTATGTAGCTATGAGGCCAGTTTCAGTATACTCTCCCTCTTTTACATCCACCAAGATCAGCATCAAGATCTGATGGGAAAAGGAACCAGAGGGTCCACAATGGAGTTTTAATCTGCCATAAAGAAGAATGAAATTGTATGATTTTCAGGAAAATGTGTAGAACTGGAGATCATCATATTAAACAAAATATGCCAGATTCAGAAAGAAAAGATTACATTTCCTTTCATTTGTAGAATCCAGGCTTAAATGCATGTATGACACGAAGGCAGGAGACTTCATTGCAGGAAGCAAGGGAACCAAAGGGAAGAGGGGGAGGGGATGAGAGAGGGTAATGGGGGAAGAAAGACAAATATATACAGAACCTAGATTTAATTACAAACATACAGCTTTATGAATGAAATGATAGCAGAAGTGGGGGATAACTACTAGGGATGGAAAGGACTAATGGGAGGGGAGATAGGAACAGATAATGATATGCATGTATGAAAATGGTGCAGTGAATTCTAACTAGATAAAAATTAAAAGTTCCATCTTGGAAAACTGGTTCACAGCTGGGAAAGAATTTGACTTGGTATGACATTCATTCCAAAGATTGAGCCTTTAGGTTGGCTATGTTTATGCAACCATGATGGGTACCTGGGATAGACAATATAAAGAAGAAGTAGTTTGTTTTGATTTGTTTTGACTTCCTGTATCTCAACATTGCTGCACTAGGAACCAAATTTTCAACACATGAGCCTTACAGAGACTGTCCACATCGATTGAAAGAATATGTTTACATGATTCAGATGAGACTGTGAACTTTCTTTGTTTGTTTGTTTTAAGATTTATTTTTATTATGTATACAGAGACCTGAGTGTCACTGGGGTAGGTTCTGTGTTTCAAAAGCCCAAGCCAGGCCCAGTGGCTCTCTCTCTTCCTGCTGGCTGTTCATCTGGATGTAAAACTCTCAGCTCCTTCTCCAGCACCATTTCTGTTTTTGTGCCACCATAGTTCCTGCCATAATAACAACGGACTAAACTTCTAAAACTGCAAGCAATCCTGAATTTAATACTTTCCTCTGTAAGAGCTGCCATGGTCTTAGTGTCTCTCTACAGCAACAGAACACTGACTAGGATACCGCATGATCTGACAACCTGAGTTTGATCCTAGGAACCCAGATAAAGGTGGAAAGAGAGAATGAACTCCATAAAATTGTCCCCCAGTCTCCACACACTCCATGGCATATGCATAACACCCCCACCATACACAAACACACAGTAACAGTAAGTAAAATTGGTTTTCTTTTTCATGAAAGCATGGAGGAAAAGCAGAGATTGACCTAAGTATAAACAAAACATGATGCTGTGTACAAGAGGCACCACACCATAGATTCTATGAACTTACAGGTGTAATTCTAATACTTAGGAGGAGGCCGAGACAGGAGAATTGCTATGTTTCAGTCCAGCATCTTTGTATAGCTCGGGCTACAATTTAAGATGTTGTCTCAAAAAATAAAACAACAACAAAATGCTTGTTGAGATGACTTAGTGGGTGAGAAAATGTGCTAGCAAGCTTGTCAACATGCATTTGATTCCTGGGATCCACATGGTGAAAGAAGAGAACCAATTTCTAAAACTTGATTTCTGATATCCACATGGCACTTGTACACACACACACACACACACTTCTGGCCTCCACATGCACACACATGAACACTACACACATACATACCAAAACAAAACAAAACCCAAACAGAAGCTAGGTGGCTCAATGGGTGAAGGCACTTGCTGCCAAACCTTAAGACCTTATGTAAATCCCTGGAACCTGCATAGTGGATGGAGAGCATTGACTCCCAAATTTGTTCTCTGACTTTTGTACTTGTGCCATGGTACATGCTCCCAAATGCATACACACATGTATACAATAAAATAAGTACATAAATGTTCTTTTAGAAATCCCCAAATTGCCGGGCATAGTAGGGCATGCCTTTAATCCCAGAACTCAGGGAGCAAAATACTATGCATTTGAGGCCAGCTTGGACTACATAGTGATTTTCAGGCCAGTCAGCCATATACACACACAAAACCCATACCTCCCAAAATTGTTCCTACAGATGCATGAAACCTTATTAATTGACAAAATTGAGGGGAGAAATGGTCAATGGTAACCTTGAACTTGTGATCCTACTGCCTCAACCTACTGAGGGCTGGGATTAGAAGTATGTATCACTGCATAGCTAGAAAATTTGAATATCTTTATATACTAATTATACTTAATATCTAAGAACTCATTTACCTTACAATAGTAAAATATAATTCATTTTGTTGTTTGCTTGTTTGAGATAGAGTATCACCAAGAAAATATAATTTGAAATTACAAGATAATATTTCACATCCACTTGGGTAGCTAGAGTAAAAAAGATGAGTAACGAAAGTGTTAGTGAGGATGTGGAGAAATTGGAACTTCATAAATTGCTGGTAGAGTACAAAATGGTATAATTACTTTAGAAAATAGTTCAGCAGTTTCTAAAAAATTCAAGTACTAAGGAGGCTGAAGTAGGAGGGTTATAAGTTTGAGGCCAGTCTGGGTTTGTGAGATCCTGTCTCAAACAAACAAAAAATAAGAAGTTAAAATACAGGGGTTGGAGAGATGACTCATCTATTAAAAGAACTGAATGCTCTTCTAGAGGCCATGGAGTAAATTTCCAGCACCCACATGGTAGTTCACAACTATTTGTAACTCCAGTTCCAGGGGATCCCAAGTCCTCTTCTAGTCTCTTCAGGCACTGTATGGTGCACAGATATACATGCAGAAAAACTCATATGCATAAAAATAAATATCTCTTTTTAAAGTTAAAATACTGTCTTAGTTTCTTTTCAATTGCCGTGACAAAACACCATGACCAAGGCAACAGTGTTTAATTTGGGCCTCATGGTTCTAGTCCAAGACCATCATAACAAGTTAGCATGGTGCTGGAGTAGTAGCTGAGAGCTTACATCTTGATTCACAAGTACCAGGCAGAAAAAGCTAATTGGGAATGGGATAGGCTTCTGAAACCTCAAGGCCTGCCCCCAGGGACATATCTCCTCTGACAAGACCATACATTCTAATCCTTCCTAAACAGTTCCACCAAGTGAGGACCAGATATTCAAACATATGAGACTATGACAGACATTGTCATTCACACCACTGCAAGAACCCAGAAATTATACTCCTAGGTATTGGAAGCAAATGTAGTAAGTTGTTCAAAAATTCAAAGCAACATTCATAAAGGACAGATGTGGGAGCAATCTAAAAGTCTATTATCTTGTGTATGAATGAATAATCAGAGTATGGCATATCCATTCAGTGGGATATTATCAGTCATTAAAGAAATGAAATACCAGGATACATTATCATATGAACTTTCAAATATCATGTCAAGAAAAGACAACTTCAAAAAGCTACATATTACAAGATTCAATTCATATAAAAAGTGTTTAAAGGTAAAAAGAGACAGGGGTTTCCTTTAGGGCAATGAAAACATTTTGGAATGAGAAAGTGTCATAAATAAGTAATTGGCTGCTTTAAAATGAGGGTCTACCTGACGGGTAGGTGTTCTTGGTTGTCAAAGTTGGTTTGGGAGGTCCCAAGCTTACTGCAGGGATTCCTGGACCCATCATTCAGTGAAGTTTCCTCAGGGTAAGAATGATTGCTATCAGTCAGTTCCATGGCACTCTGGAGTTTAGTACTAGAAAGAAAGTTTCTTTGAAGGCTTCATCCCACTCTATCTTCTGATGTAGAGAATGGCAGTGTTCTCACCAGCATTCCAACTGTAGATACAGGAGGATCAGATATTCAAGGCCCTCCTTGGACACATAGTGAGTTTGGGGCCAGCCTGGGATACATAAGATTCTGTCTGAGCTGGGTGTTAGTGGCACATTCCTTCAATCCCAGTACTTGGGAGGCAGAGGCAGACAAATTTCTGAATCAGAGGCCAGCCTGCTCTATAGAGTGAGTTCCAGGATAGCCAGGGTTACACAGAGAAATCTTGTCTTGAAAAATAAACAAATAAGACTCTGTCTCAAAAACAAAGAAAGAGAGCAAATAAAATGGCTTGTTAGGTAAGTATGCTTGCTGCCAAGCCTAACAACTTCATTTTGAGCCCCAAGACCCACATGGTAGAAGGATGAAACTGACTAGATGTCTCTGATGTCACATGCATGTAGTCGAATGCACAAACCTGCCATCACACATGCACATCACATACACTAATAATTAATAAAATTTAAAAAGAAAGAACAGTGATTTATTTTTATACTAACATTGGAAAAAGGGCATATGTGAGAGAGAAAGGAGGGATTTTGTCTTAGACACATTAAGTGTGAAACACTTAATGGACATCTTCATGAATTTGTTAAGTGGGCAAATGGAGATATCCACCTGCAGTTCAAAGGAGAGCTATGGATTGAAGATATAAAATTGGGGGAAAATAAATACTCATTAAACATTTGAATAGGACATGGAACACAGGATTCATAAACATGAGCTATTATATGTCCAATCCCTTCCCCTCTGAACTGTGATGCCATCTCTGTTATACACAACTTTGTTTATCTAATGAACCTCAGTTTCTACCACAGCATTCCCTAATCTAAAGATTAGAAGAGATCAGCTTGGAAGCCAACAGCCTCTCATTTCTCAATTTATAAGGATAATAGTATTTTTAAAACCTATTCCTCTTTTACTATCTAGGGAAAAGTCACCTGGATTATTCTGCCATATGGAGGATGCTAAGAAGCTAGATAAAATCACAGACAGGAAGTTCAGGAAACCAAGGGGCCAGGTCAGGTGAGGCAGGTCTGTAATCTTAGCACTCTGGACAGAGGCAAGGGATGAGGAACACACATTCCATATCACCTAGTCAGACCCTGCCTCAAATAAAAAAAGAAAAAAAGAGGGTGTTGGTATTTATCCCTGTGGTGTAGTGTAAGGCCCTGGGTGCAGTGACTAGCACTAAGTGGGGGGAAGCTCCAAAAGGAGAAGGGAGTTTACCACCTGCTGATTCTTTTGCCCTACTTCAGCCACATGCTGAGCAAAGGCTATGGTCACCATGACACCACCATTAACTAT